TGTTATTGATGAGGGTATCAGAACACGCCAGCTTGAACACCTGAGCGAGTTCACAGAAAAAGTGGGGGATTTCCAGGTGTGTGCAGAAAGCCAGCCGCAGTGCCATCAAAGTGTGGAGCAGGGCGTTCACAACGCTAAGGAACAGAGACACCAGGATCAGCAGACCACAGAGGCGGGGATTCATGATGTTCATGTACCTAAAGGGGTGACAAATGGCCACATAGCGGTCATAGGCCATGGCTGCAAGGAGAAAATTTTCCAAAACTGCAAAAACCAGGACAAAGCAGACCTGGGTGAGGCAGCCTGTATAAGTGATGCTCTGATTCTGTGTCTGGATGTTCACCAGCATCTTTGGGATTGTGGTTGTGCTTAAGCAGATGTCAGCCAAAGACAAGTTGGAGAGGAAGAAGTACATGGGGGGGTGGACATGGGTGTCAGAGATGACGGCCAGGATGATGAGCAGGTTTCCCAGGATGGTGACCAGATATATGGACAGGAACAGGCTGAAGAGGAGGCGCTGCAGTTCTGGATCCTCTGTCAGTCCCCGGAGAAAGAATTCTGAAACTCCTATTTGGTTTCTGGGTTCCATGTCGCTGATGATCTGACCTGAAACATCAGTGACAAAGGAAGACATACAAATGGCCAAAAGGTACATGAAAAAATGCTCAACATCACTAGTCATCAGGGAAATGCAAATTAAAACCACACTGAGATACCGCCCCACTCCAGTTAGACCAGCTATGATCAACAAGATGGTGAATAAGAAATGCTGGTGAGGGTGTGGAGAGAAGGGAACCCTCCTGCACTCTTGATGGGACTGTAAATTAGTACAACCACTATGGAAAACAGTATGGAGGTTTCTCAAACAACTACAGATAGATCGTCCATACGATCCAGCAATCCCTGTTCTGGGTATATACCCAGAGGAATGGAAATCATCTTGTAGAAGGGATACCTGCACTCCATGTTCATCGCAGCTCTGTTTACAATAGCCAAGACATGGAACCAACCTAAATGTCCATT